GGAAACCTTTGTAAAGTGGAACACCCTTTTTTTCCACTTAAAAATGCATACAAACACTAGATAACAAGTTTACACTAACATATATTAAGTTAGCAATAGAACCAGGCATCAAAAAACAATAAAAAAGTACAGTACACACATAGTGCACTCATTACTTACCTTAAAATATTTATAGTCTTAATCTAGGGTGAGACAAGTAGTATTTATTGTAAGAAATCAAGTGTGGTATGTATGGTAGTCAGCCTGGCTACCATACCAGGCCACCCCCCCTCACACATACAATTTCTATGATATTTTAAGGGATCCCAGAGTGATAAAATGTATATACAGTTCACTCATTTTCTTACCTTAAATATTTGTTGTCTTAATGTTAGGGTCAGGAGTAAGTAAATGAGATAAAACGAATAAATGAGAGAGAGAAAGAATGAGTGCTGAGAGAGAGGACAGGGCGCAGAGTTATGTAAACAAACCAGGCGAAGGTAAGTTTTGTAAACAAAGTGTACACGTCTGGTTTGTGTACAAGTTACATTGTGTACAGGTTGTCTCTACATTGATACGGTAGAATAAATAAAGAAGAACACTCCCATTCTCATGTAACATCATTTTGAGAAGAAATGATGCTCTGAGTGAAGGCAATGGAAATAAGTCACTCTGACTTTTTTGGGTTATCCTAGGTTCTCTACACATATGTATGATAATCTATGTAACTGTATTTGTGTATACCTGAATAAACTTACATATGAAAGGAATAATTTTCTACAGTTACCCCCAGTAACACATTTCCTCTTATGTTAGATTAGAGAAAATGTTATTCTTGGCGTCACTTGTACAAGTTCTCTGGCTACCACATCTCATATTTATGTTTATTTATTCTATTGTAGGGTGTATTTATCATCTTTTTATGTTATGTATCGTGTTTATTATATAATTTTGAAAAAAATATCATGGATGGATTAATGAAAATGTGTATATTAACGTAATATACAACATTTAATGAGACTCGGTGATTATTATTATTATCATTTCTAATATGGCGTCACTTGTGCAAGTCGTCTGCTTCCACATCTCATATTTATGTTTATTCTATTGTGGGGTGTATTTATCATCTTTTTATGTTATGTATCGTGTTTATTATATAATTTTGAAAAAATATCATAGATGGATTAATGAAAATGTGTATTTAACGTAATATACGACATTTATATGAGACTCGATGATTATTATTATCATTACTAATATGACGTCTGGAGACATAAGACACTCTTACTGATTTTAATGTGTACCTGCATGCCAGCACAGTATGTAAGTTTATTTAAGTACAGGTATACATAAGTATAATTATCAGAGTATATATAAAATATGAAATAACTTTTAAAAACATTTGAAATTTTGGAGTTTCCTGACAAAATGGAGAGACTTGGTGCTTACTGAGCTCACGAAGAATGTAAACAAACAAGGTGGGGCGCGGTGACCGTATTAGAAAGTCAGGTGGGGGGAGCCGTATAGCGAGTTTTGGTCATAATTTGAAATGACCGTATTAGCGGAACGCCGTAAAGTGAAACGCCGTAAAGCGGGGCCTTCCTGTATAGTAGTACCAACACACTTATATGGATGTGAAGCTTGCGTTGTGAATGCAGCAGCGAGGAGGCGGTTGGAGGCAGTGGAGATGTCCTGTCTAAGGGCAGTGTGTGGTGTAAATATGCAGAAAATTCAGAGTGTGGAAATTAGGAGAAGGTGTGGAGTTAATAAAAGTATTAGTCAGAGGGCTGAAGAGGGGTTTCTGAGGTGGTTTGATCATTTAGAGAGAATGGATCAAAGTAGAATGACATGGAGAGCGTTTAAATCTGTAGGGGAAGGAAGGCTGGGTAGGGGTTGTCCTCGAAATGGAAGGAAGGGGTAAGGGAGGTTTTGTGGGCGAGGTGCTTGGGCTTCCAGCAGGCGTGCGTGAAGGTGTTCAACAGGAGTGAATGGAGACTAATGGTATTTGGGACCTGAGCAGATGTGTGAGCAGGGTAATATTTAGTGAAGGGATTCAGGGACACTGGCTGTTTTTATATAGCCGGACTTGAGTCCTGGAAGTGGGAAGTACAGTGCCTGCACTCTGAACGAGGGGTTCGGGATACTGGCAGTTTGGAGGGATATGTTGTGTATCTTTATACGTATATACTTCTAAACTGTTGCATTCTGGGCACTTCTGCAAAAACAGTGATTGTGTGAGTGAGGTGAAAGTGTTGAATGATGAAAGTATTTTCTTTTTGGGGATTTTCTTTCTTTTTGGGTCACCCTGCCTTGGTGGGAGATGGCCAACTTGTTAAAAAAAAAAATTACCTACTTTTCCTATTATTCCTTTTTCACACATTTTGTGCACTATCACCCCATGGTTACACTTGTCAAAGACTTTTGCAAAGTCTATGTAAATTACATCTGCATTTTGTTTTGTCTTCTAAAGCATCCAGGACCTTCTCATAGTGGTACAGTAGCTGGGACAGACAGGAGCGACCTGCTCTAAACCCATGCTGCCCTGGGTTGTGTAACTGATGAATATTTAGGTGAGTGGCAATCTTGCTTCTTAGAACCCTTTCAGATATTTTTGTGGTATGGGACATTAGCTCTATTGGTCTGTAGTTCTTTGCTTTTGCTTTACTGCCCCCTTGTGGAGTGGGACTATGTCTGTTTGTTTTTAGCAGCTGTGGGATGACCCATGTCCATGCTTCCTCTCCATAGGATGCTAAAAGCACGTGATAGGGGCTTCTTTCAATTTTTGATGAACACAGACTTTCATGAGTCTGGGCCTGGGGCAGAGTGCATGGGCATGTCATTTATCACCTTTTCGAAGTTGTTTGCCGTTAGGATAATATCAGATAGGTTTGCGTCTACAAAATTCTGTGGCTCTATCATGAAAAATTTATTTAGGTCTTCGACTATGTCTAGTTAGCAGCCCACTAAAAACTGAGTCATATTGGGACTTGAGTAGCTCACTCATTTCCTTGCTGTCATCTGTGTAGGACCTACCTTGTTTTAGTAGGGGCCCAATACTAGAAGTTCTCAACTTAGATTTGGCATAGGAAAAGAAATACTTTGGGTTTCTTTCAGTTTCATCTATGGCTTTTAGTTCTTCTCGTGTTGCTTGACTCCTGTAAGATTCCTTTAGCTTTAGTTCGATGTTTGCTGTTTCTCTGACCAGTGACTCCCTATGTATTGCAGATATATTGGCCTCTTTTAGCTGGTCTGTTATTCTTTGCCTTCGCCTGTATAGGGAGTGCCTTTCTCTTTCTAGTTTACATCGTCTCCTCCCCCTATTCCTTAAAGGAATATGCTTTGAGTGCCACAGAGTTAATCTGTTTGGGCCATAGGTTGGGATCTATGTCGCTTAGGCTGTCTTCCCAGTTTATATCATTTAGGACTTGGTTTATTTGGTCCCACTGTTTTTGTTATTGAAGTTGAATTTGGTGAAGCCTCCTTCGTGACTGATCACATTTTGTTGGTCTGGGGCCCTGCGCATTCATGTCTGAACCTCTATGTTGTGATCTGAGCATATTGTTTTTGATGTGGTGACATTACTTATCAGATCATCATTGTTAGTGAAGATGAGGTCCAGTGTATTCTCCAATCTTGTAGGCTCTATTATTTGTTGGTTTAAGTTGAATTTGGTGCAGAGATTTAAAAGCTCGTGTTTGGGAGTTTTCATCTGAGCTGCCTCCTGGTGTTATCTCTTCTACAACTTTATTTGCTATATTCCTCCATTTTAGGTGCCTTAGGTTGAAATCCTCCAGGAGCAAGATGTTGGGGGAAGGAGCTGGGAGATTTTCAAGACAGTGGTCAATTTTCAAAAACTGTTCCCAGAATTGTTGGGATGTTGCATCTGGAGGCTTGTATACAGCCACAATGACTAGGATTTGATTCTCGATCTTTAATGCTGTAGTTTTACAGTAAACAATGAGAAATATATGTAAAGGACTAATGAAATGGATAAATGAACATTTAACATAACGTTTACCTTTATTGAAGACTCTGTGTATGTCAGATCACTTCTTGAATTTGTTGAACCAGCCTCTGGTGGCTTTAAATATATGTACTAACAGCAGCACTCGTTCCAGGCATTTTCTTCATGAGATCTGCATGCAGCTGCCTTGCCTTTTCTCAAACTATTGCCTCCACAACACTCTCTCTCGCTAACTGTTTTTCGTTGTTGCACACCAACTACAACTTCTCAATATTTTCGATTGTTTGCTATCTCTGTTTCATTAGCACATTTACCCCTTTCACAACATCAGATTCCTGGATTTCTTCTTTCTTTGCTAGGATGGAACTGATTGTTGATGAGGATTTCCCGTATATCCTGGCGAGATCGACCGCATGTACATCACTTGCATACTTTGCTGTCAGTTCTTTCTTGAATTCTATCATGTTTCTCGCCTTCTCTATCAAAGGTCTGGTACTCGGAACTTTCTTTGGCTCCATGGTGGCTAATTTAGCAGTTGCATTCATTAAACAAGCACAAAAAACACTGGATTATCACGAAATGTTTTGTATGAATGTGCAGGGTTATGTTCACTCGAAGAGAAACGAAGTCAGACTGACTCAGAACGAGTGCATGGGATGCTTTGTGTGGGCATGGGCAGACGGACATGTTCGGTACGGCGGATGAAAACCGAGGTGATGAACGAAATCTGGGATAAAATTTTGACAAAAAAAAAAAGGCATCGAAAACGAATTCGACAAAAAACCGGGCAAACGAAAACCTAGGGTCTACTGTATATGTTATGTTTTAGCTGACCATTTATAGGAACAATGTTATAGTTATGCAGATCTTTACTGTACATACATTTTTGTGCTATATCAACATTTTTTTATTTATGTACGTAGGGACATATGAATACATGTGGAGGCTACTGTAACTATTGATTTCATATTTAAAATTTTCAGTGTATTACTGTGATGTGTTTGAGATTATCTCTTGCACATCATAGTCCTTAATTTATTCATGCAAATTGATGCAGTGTTTGCAGGTCAGGACAGCTACAATTGATAACCAGGGTAGTGGCCGCCATAGTGATGACAACAATCAGGAGGAAGAGAGTGATGATCTCGACTTGGCAAATTTCATGACTCTTGACTCTGTTGGAGAGGATGGTGAGGATTTTAATGTTTTTTTTTTTTTTTTGCTTTCCTCCTCACTGGCAATATGCAACGGCGGGATGACCTAAAGAAGGAAACACACTCACTATCTTTCATTCAGTCACTGTCTTGCCAGAAGTGTGCTGAAATCACAATTGTGATTACCCTCAGATTGCACTATCTTCACCCTCTCCAGAGTGCAGTCACTGCCCTTGTCATCTCCAGAGCTTAAGTCCGGCTAAATGGTTTCCCTGACTCCCTTCATAAATATTACCTTGCTCACACTCCAACAGCACAGTCATTAAAAACGACTTGTCTCCATCTAATCCTATCTAATATGCTCATGCAAGCCTGCTGGATGCTCGAGCCCTTAAAACTCAAAGCCTCCTTTACTTCCTCCCTATGAGTCAGAAACTTGTTGCATCTGGCATGTTCAGAGTTGAATTTGTAGTGTAACATTTTCACTTTGGCTATATATATATTTGATGCAATGGTCATTTCCTACCATTCATTGGCTGTAATATTTTTTATTGTACTTTTATCTGCACTATTGTGATGTACTGCATTTCCAAATTTTGTATTTAATTTTTGTGATTTGTCCCAAAGATGATGATGTTGGCTCTGAACATGAAGAAATAACTGGTGGTTTGGATGCTGTGGAGGCAGCTGAGAAAGAAGCAGCAACGGGGGATGATGATGATGATTTGGAACCATCTACCATTGACAAAAAGCAGAAAGGGAAGTCAAAAGGAAGAGGGAAGAAAGGGCCAGTTGATGATGATGATGATGCTCAGTTGGAGAGTGATTGGGAGAAAGAGCAACCAGAGGATGAGGAAGAAGGAGGCCATAAGCCACTTGGTAAGGATTACTTCATTTTGAACTTTATTCAGGTGTAATATTTTAGCCCTATTCCCTCTATTTTGCAGTAAAAGTAGTAGTATTTTTTGTGTGGTACTATAAAAATGGGGTAATTGCCAAAACATTTTAGATTTTCAGCCACTGTAACTGATTTAACATGTTTTGGGCTGCATTGAAATATAGTTGGTGTTGGTAGTGTTTATGTACAAACCATCAGTATATACTGCAGCAGCATTAAAATCTTTCTTTCAACACACCGGCCGTATCCCACCGAGGCGGGGTGGCCCAAAAGGAAAAACGAAAGTTTCTCCTTTTACATTTAGTAATATATACAGTAGAAGAGGTTACTAGCTCCTTGCTCCCGGCATTTTAGTCGCCTCTTACAACACGCATGTCTTACGGAGGAAGAATTCTGATCCACTTCCCCATGGAGATAAGAGGAAATAAACAAGAATAAGAACTAGAAAGAAAATATAAGAAAACCCAGAGGGGTGTGTATATATATATGCTTGTACATGTATGTGTTGTGTGACCTAAGTGTAAATAGAAGTAGCAAGACATACCTGAAATCTTGCATGTTAATGAGACAAAAATGGACACGAGCAATCCTACCATCATGTAAAACAATTACAGGCTTTCGTTTTACACTCACTTGGCAGGACAGTAGTACCTCCCTGGGCGGTTGCTGTCTACCAACCTACTACCTAGGAGCATTAAAATATAAATCTTAAATTTCCAGCCGTTTGTATATTGAGGTTTTCATATTTGCTTTTCCATTACTCGTGTGTGAAAGTGTGTGTGTGTATGAAAGTGTGTGTGTATGTGTATGAAAGTGTGTGTGTGTGTGTATTCACCTAATTGTGGTTGCAGGGGTCAAGACTCAGCTCCTGCCCCCCTCTTCACTGATGGTTACTAGGTCCTCTCTCTCTCCTGCTCCATGAGCTTTATCATGCCTCGTCTCAAGCTATGTATAGATCCTGCCTCCACTACATCACTTGCTTGACTATTTCACTTCCTGAGAACTCTGTGACTGAAGAAATACTTCCTAACATCCCTTTGACTTGTCTGAGTCTTCACCTTCCAATTGTGACCCCTTGTTTCCTGTGTCTCCTCTCTGGAACATCCTGTCTGTCCACCTTATCTATTCCATGTAGTATTTTGTACGTTGTTATCATGTCTCCCCTAACCTCCTGTCCTCCCAGTGTTGTCAGAGCCGATTTCCCTTAACCTTTCTGCATAGGACATTCCCCTGATCTCTGGAACTAGCTTTGTTGCAAACCTTTGCACTTTTTCTAATTTCTTGATGTGCTTGGCTAAGTGTGGGTTCCAGACTGGTGCTGCATACTCCAGTATGGGCCTGTCATGCATGGCATACAGTGTCTTGAATGATTCCTTACTAAGATATTGGAAAGCTATTCTTAGGTTTTCTAAGCTCCCATATGCTGCAACTGTTATCTGGTTGATGTGTGCTTCCGGAGATGTGCTCGGTGTTATACTAACCCCAAGATGTTTCTCCTTGAGCAAGGTTTGCAGTCTTTGGCCACCTAGCCCATACTCTGTCTGTGGTCTTCTTTGCCCTTCCGCGATCTTCATGACTTTGCATTTGGCGGGGCTAAATTTGAGGAGCCATTTGATGGACCACGTGTCCAGCCAGCCTAGGTCTCTGTAGTCCTGCCTGATCCTCATCTGATTTAATTCTCCTCATTAACTTCACATCATTTGTGAACAGGGACACTTCTTAGTCTATCTCTTCCATCATGTCATTCACACATACCAAAAATAGCACTGGTCCTCGGACTGACCCCTGTGGGACCCCTCTATTCACAGGTGCCCACTGTGATACCTCATCACATACCATGACTTGTTGCCTCCCTGTCAGGTATTCTCTGATCCATTGCAGTGCCCTTCCTGTTATACGTGCCTGATCCTCTAGCATCTGCACTAATCTCTTGTGAGGAACTGTGTCGAAGGCCTTCTTGCAGTCCAAGAAAATGCAATCACCCCCCCCCCCTCTCATGTCTACTGTCACTTTGTCATAAAACTCCAGAAGGTTTGTGACACAGGATTTGCCTCCCATGAATCCATGCTGTTGTCGTTTATAATCTTGTTCCGTTTCAGGTGCTCTACCACTCTTCTCCTGATAATCTTCTCCATGACTTTGCATACTATACACGTCAGTGACACTGTTCTATAGTTTAGTGCCTTGTTTCTGTCTCTTTTCTTAAAAATGGGGAATGCATTTGCTGTTTTCCATGCCTCAGGTAGTTGCCCAGTTTCAAGGGATGTGTTGAAAATTGTGGTTAGTTGCACACAGTGTCTGCTCCCATTCTAAGGACCCACAGAGATATGCTGTCCGGTCCCACTGCCTTTGGGGTATCAAGGCTGCTTAGCAGCTACTTCACTTCCTCCTCAGTTGTGTGTATCATCCAGCACTTGTTGGTATAACCCTTGTTGGTGTCCCCCTCTGTTCTCTCTTCCCAGAGTCCTTCCTGTCTCTACTCTGTGAATACTTCCTTAACCCCTTAAACATCTAAACGTATATACGTTCACTAGCGCAGCACCCCGAATATTTTGAAAGAAAAAACTTTTTTTTTTTTTATAGAATAAAAGAGCACATTTTTTTTAAGTGTTTCAGAATAATAAAAAAATTAGGGTCATTACTTACAGAGATACGAGGCTGAGAAGTTGGCACTGGATGCTCACATGACGGCAACATGAAGTCCTGCCGCTTGCAGAAGTGTTGCCAATATACCTTTTTTTCTATTTTTCATATTTTATGTAATTTTTATATTCTGATAATTACAATTTATAGTAGTTCTTGTTATTTCATAACCAATCTTTGTTCTGACACTAGTATTAGGTATTGAAATTGTACTCAAATTGTCACAAACACATTGACAGGTGGACATTTACACCTGCTTTGGTCATTTACTATTGTCTTGGAATATATACAAAGTATTTATAGGTCCCAGCAATGTTTTGGATATGTGGAAGCATATAATAATAATAATGAGGAGGAAGTGGAGAAGGAGAAGGAAGAGGAGGAGGAGAAGAAGAATACGTAATAATAATAATAATAATAGGTAATAATGAGTTACTTTTTGCTGATGATACTGTGCTTATGGGAGATTCTAAAGAAAAATTGCAAAGGTTATTGGACAAATTTGGGTGTGTGTGTAAAGGTAGAAAGTTGAAAGTGAACATAGAAAAGAGTAAAGTGATGAGGGTATCAAATAATTTAGATAAAGAAAAATTGGATATCAAATTGAGGAGGAGGAGTATGGAAGAAGTGAATGTTTTCAGATATTTGGGAGTTGACGTGTCAGCAGATGGATTTATGAAGGATAAGGTTAATCTTAGAATTGATGAAGAAAAAAAGGTGAGCAGTGCATTGAGGTATATGTGGAGGGAAAAAATGTTATCTATGGAGGCAAAGAAGGGAATGTATGAAATTATAGTGGTACCAACACTCTTATATGGGCATGAAGCTTGGGTTGTAAATGCTGCAGCGAGGAGGCAGTTGGAGGAAGTGGAGATGTCCTGTCTAAGGGCAATGTGTGGTGTAAATATTATGCAGAAAATTCAGAGTGTGGAAATTAGAAGGTATGGAGTTAATAAAAGTATTAGTCAGAGGGCTGAAGAGGGTTTGTTGAGGTGGTTTGGTCATTTAGAGAGAATGGATCAAAGTAGAATGACATGGAGAGCGTATAAATGTGTAGGGGAAGGCGGGGTAGGGGTCGTCCTCAAAAAGGTTGGAAGCAGGAGTAAGGGAGGTTTTGTGGGCGAGGGGCTTGGACTTCCAGCAGGTGTGCGTGAGTGTGTTCGATAGGAGTGAATGGAGACGAATGGTATTTGGGACCTGACGATCTGTTGGAGTGTGAGCAGGGTAATATGTAGTGAAGGGATTCAGGGAAACCGGTTATTTTTATAGTCGGACTTGAGTCCTGGAAATGGGAAGTACAATGCCTGCATTCTAAAGGAGGTTCGGGATATTGGCAGTTTGTAGGTATTTGTTGTGTATCTTTTTACATATATGCTTCTAAACTGTTGTGTTCTGAGCACCTCTGCAAAAACAGTGATTATGTGTGAGTGAGGTGAAAGTGTTGAATGATGATGAAAGTATTTTCTTTTTGAGTCACCCTTCCTCGGTGGGAGATGGCCAACTTGTTAAAAAAAAAAAAAGTTACACTCCTGTATCATGTCCCCTCCAAATAACTTGTCTTAACTTTTTCTGTCCAATGCACCATTTTTATTCCATTTTTTATGCATGTCATGATTTTGCTTATGAAAAATTTAAAATTTTGTAATATTTTACTTGGAAGAATAGAGGCAAAAGTACTTTTAAATTTGATTCCATTTCCTATTACTAGATAAAAATATTAATCATAACTTAAATATTATAAGTGAGACTTTGATGATGTGGCACGACACACTGTTGACCAGTTACTATCATGAAATAATTTTTTGCACATAATCTCACAGGAACAGAGTATGTGCGTCGCATTGAAGCTTATTTCTGCAGCCTTTGCTATAAAATCATTCGTGCGGATTCTTCATTGGGGTCGCGAGCTGTTCAGCGCCACTGTCGGTCATTAAATCATCTCTCGCATTATTATGACCATCATCCAGCAGCACATCAGGTAGGTAAAGATTCCATAATTAATTTATCTCATGAGACCCACATAAGTCCCTGCAGACTTTATAAATAATCCAAATGAGCCAGAGATATATCAAGAGGAATATATTCAGCATTAATTGTGATGTCTGCACACTTCTAGCTAGAAAGCTATTGAATGAATGCTGGTGAATGTGTATTGTTTGAGTTGCCATTCTTTGTTAGGAGATGGTCATTATGGTAAATGGGAGAAAAAAAAGGGACAGTAAGAGATTATTGTAATCATGGGATTATACAGAGCCTCTGGGGGAGGGGGAACGGAAGGTATTCAGGCTCAATATAAGGAACTGGAACACAGATCCAATTTCCTAGATCAAGAGCCCCTCACTAGTATCAAGGAACCTCCCTTGAGGGGGTAGACAGTAAGAGAGGAACACAGAATGGAGACTCGCTAAAAGTTTGCTAAATCCATGAAGGTCATATATCAATACTGAATAAAAATAATTAAATCAAATGTCATTTCAGTGTAGGGTTTACAATGGTAACAAATTTGTGGGGAGATGCTACTTAATGAATATTACACGACTTCGTGAAGAGGTGCAACAGTGTTATGGGCCTTGGTTGAAGATAAGTAGCATAACTGTATTCTTAGTTATTTTTGATGGAAGAAGCATTCATTGTAACTGAATTTGACTTATTAAAGATGTCTTACTTCATTTTCAGGAAGAAGATATACCAAGTGGGGAGGAGGGGGATGGTGAGGTTGATCTTGAGGAAGACCCAGATCAGGACAAGCTGTGGGAAGAAGTTGATAAGGGCCTTACTGCCCTTCAGGGTTAGTATTTTTATACTTTTTATTGTGCATTTAGTGTGTAACAACATAACTACTTACAATAAAATGCCTTGTATGACATGTAGGGAATTTACTTCTATAGTTTTCAACAGCAAGGATACAGTGATGACTAAAATTGTCCCCATCTCCTTTCACCTCCCCCTTCCCTGTCTCTTTTTCCCATTTTTTCTCTTCACTTTCACTTCCCTATTCCCACCACCCTCCTTCCATTCTCCATTTCCTGGGGGTGCTGTATAGCTCTCTGCTGAGAGTATTCAATTGAAATTGTAAGGTCCCAGGCTCATTTCCTAGTGCATAGAAACACATGTGTCAGTTTCCTTTTACCCCTGCCTGCCAAGCAGTAAAAATGGGCACTTGTGTGTTAGACTGGTGGACTGCATCCAGGGAAAAATGTGTTAGAAAACTACAGTCCTCCAAAAATGTCATTCTAAGTAAAAAACTTGGTACCTGTTAGAGGTATTCAGGGGTTGGGTAAAAGATATCCTTGTACTGTAATGTTAATTTAAATAAATCTTTATCTGTCTCCTCTCTCCCTTTTCCTTATATGTAATATGGGTATAGTATAATTAATCAGGCTCTTAGTGTCATTACAACACTATTATTAGATTGTCAGAAAAAATTTGTGTATACTGCATTAATGTATAATTACTGAACATTCCAATTTTTCTTTAGTTCATTCTTCTTTGGAAGAAGTCTTGCTCTGTGAATATCTTTTTCAGGATTTTAAAGGATAGGAAAACGTTTGTTTAGTTCACCCAGGCAAGAGCTTTAAGTCGGTCATAAAATGGATGAAGGATGGTGTAAAGACACTTAAGAAAAAGTTTATTTTGAAATTTTAATCTATTAGGGTTAAAAAATTTTGAAGCAGATTATTGTATGTGGCCATCATGTTATTATCTTTTAAGGTGAAATCATGACAGAAATAGAGGGTGAGGATGCTACTGAAGAACAAAACAAAGATGATAAAGTCAATGGGACAGAAGTGGAAAAGGAGTTAGAAGAAGCAGAAGCAGTAGCAGCATCAGCATCATCAGTAGTAGCAGCAGCATCTGGTGATGATCAAGCTAAAGATGATGCCAAAAGTGGTAAAGAAGATGCTAAAGCTGATAGAAAGGGAGAAGACAAATCAAGTAAGGTTAGTACATAAATCATGTGGTTTAGACTTACATAGTTTGCATCATTAGATGCAGCTTTCTCCTTGCTGCAACACTCAAGGACCACACTTTATACACTATAAAAGTGTTGGCACCACTGTATTTTAATGCATTAATTGATTAACTTTTCTTTCCGCAGACTCGACACCCCATCAACCTTCTTTCCCTCTTCTATACGATTCACTGTCTCTCCCCAATTCTGTTGGAACATTCAGTTACTAATTTTTTTTTTCAACGAACTGACTGCATCCCACCGAGGCAGGGTGACCCAAAAAGAAAAGCAAAAGTTTCTCCTTTTAAATTTTGAGGGGTTAGGGATATTGGCAGTTTGGAGGGATTTCTAAACTGTCGTATCTGAACACCTCTGCAAAGAGAGTGATTATGTATGAGTGAGGTGAGAGTGTTGAATGATGATGAAAATATTTTTTCTTTCTTTTTGGGTCACCCTGCCTAAGTGGGAGATGACCAACGTGTTAAAAAAAAAAATGTATACAGGAGAAGGGGTTAGTAGCCCCTTGCTCCTGTCATTTTAGTCACCTCTTATGACACACATGGTTTACGCAGGAAGAATTCCGTTCCACTTCCCCATGGAGATTAGAGGAAATAAGCAAGAACTATTAAGAAAATAGAAGAAAACCCTGAGGGGTGTGTATATGTACGCTTGTACATGCATGTGTAGTGTGACCTACGTATAAGTAGAAGTAGCAAGATGTACTGGAAACCTTGCATGTTTAAGACAGAAAAAAGACACCAGCAATCCTACCATCATGTAAATTAATTACAATAATTCCAGATATTAAATACAGTAGACCCCCAGTTTTTGTAATTAATCTGTTCCAGAAGGTTGGCTGAAATCCGAAATGGACGAAAACCGCCTGGGACTAGTCCACCTTATGACTACGTACACTGTGGCTTACAGCCATATCATTACCATCAACATACCATGTTCACTGAGTTCAATCGTTTCTAACAACTACCTTTAGATGCCATCATAAACAAAGGGAGAAGTAATGAATAATTCATGCCAAGAATTGTAGACAAACGTGTATTAACCCTTTCAGGGTCCTCAGGCCCTCTCCGAGACTTGTTCTAAGGGTCCCCCCAAAATTTTCTTATGAAAAGATAGAGAATCTTTTCCCGATCATAATGACACCAAAAGTATAAAATTTGATGGAAGACTTACGGAATTATGCTCTCGCGAACTTAGCGGTCTCGACGATGTTTACGCATCGGCGATTTTGCCCACTTTGAACCCTATTTTTGGCCAGTTCCAGTGTACTAGTCAAAAAAAATCATAACTATTTTGCCAGAACTCCATTTTTTCTTTCGAATGAGTACAAGAAACCACCCATTTACCGATTTCAACTATCCAATAAAGTGGTCAGAATTTAGCAATTTTGCCAATTTCACACAAATTTCAAAAGATGCCAATTTCCGATTAGGGTCCAGAATAAACAAGAAAGACATTCCTGGCACTAAAATAACAAGTTTTCTGTTCGTTAGTCACATCCCCAGGCCCCTCTTATATTTCTTTGGCTTTCCACTTTGAATTTTTATTCATACAAAAAATAGAAGATTTACTGTTATGCAGACTACTGCATTAGTGTAGAAATGGTATAAATAATATCAGCGCACTTGTGAAAGAATGTTAGACTCACCAGTTGACATGTATTGGACGCTTTGGTAAAAATCGAACAATTCTGCTACTTTGAGCTCAATTTCAAGGTACTTTTCATTGTAAAACCAGTCAAAATCATCTCAATTTCTGTAATATGTCTTCCATTCTATAAAATGAGATGAAGAAAACTAGAATACAACAATAAATACCATACGAAAATACAGTGCAAAGTCGCTGTTTTAATCCAAAAACACGGTCAAAGCTTTTTTTTCTCATTACGCACTATTGCAGGATTTTTTTTATACTGCACACACTGACCACATAGACCCATTCTTTCATATGTAGGCCTACCAGCTTTCTCACTAGATTTGAGGGTGCTAGAATTTAGGCGTACTAGTACGTCAAAAAACCCTGGGACGTAAGCCATACTAGTACGGCCGAAACCCTGAAAGGGTTAAGGGCTGTGACTGGCCAGACGCAATTCACAGTTTTCTCTAATGCTGGACCAGAGAAAACGTAATGTTTTCCCTCCACTGCGTTGCCACTCAGTAGCATATAAACATTGCATGTTTATATGTTATGTAATGTGTTTCTTACATAATTTTGAGAAAATATCATAATGGATTATTGGAAATGTCTATATTAACCTAAAATAAGACATTTAATGTGCCCAAAAGTGATTATTATTAAGTATTAGTATTATAACTATGGTGTTAAGACTAGAGTGACACTTAGTGAATGAGTAACAAAGGCATGTTTAATAATTTTTTTTTTTTAACACGTCAGCAGTCTCCCACCGAGGCAGGGTGACCCAAAAAGAAAGAAAATCCCCCAAAAGAAAATACTTTCATCATCATTCAACACTTTCGCCTCACTCATACATAATCAGTCTTTGCAGAGGTGCTCAGATACGACAGTTCAGAAGTCCCTCCAAACTGCCAATATCCCAAACCCCTCCTTTAAAGCTGCATTCATTATACTTCCCATTTCCGTGACTCAAGTCCAGCATGTTTATATGCTATGTAATGTGTTTCTTATATAATTTTGAAGAAAATATCATAGATGGATTAATGAGTATGTCTATATTACCCTAAAATAAGACATTTAATGTGCCTGACGAGCTGTTGGAGTGTGAGCAGGGTAATGTTTAGTGAAGGGATTCAGGGAAACTGGCTATTTTTATATAGCCAGACTTGAGTCCTGGAAATGGGAAGTACAATGCCTGCACTTTAGAGGAGGGGTTTGGAATAGTGGCAGTTTGGAGGGATATGTTGTGTATCTTTATATGCATATACAGTGGACCCCCGCTTAACGATCACCTCCAAATGCGACCAATTATGTAAGTGTATTTATGTAAGTGCGTTTGTACGTGTATGTTTGGGGGTCTGAAATGGACTAATCTACTTCACAATATTCCTTATGGGAAAAAATTCGGTCAGTACTGGCACCTGAACATACTACTGGAATGAAAAAAGTTCGTTAACCGGGGGTCCACTGTACTTCTAAACTGTTGTATTCTGAGCACCTCTGCAAAAACAGTGATTATGTGAGAGTGAGGTGAAAGTGTTGAATGATGATGAAAGTATTTTCTTTTTGGAGATTTTCTTTCTTTTTGGGTCACCCTGCTTCAGTGGGAGATGGCCGACTTGTTAAAAAAAAACGCGTGAGCAGCCCAGGATCACGCATCTGGTACCAACAATTTCCGAGCGGATGTACGAAACCCGGGGAAATTTTGCCAAAAAACTGTTCAAAATCCAAATTACAGTGTATCTGATTTCTGCACCAGCCAAAAACCAGGGGTCCACTGTAAATTACTTTCTTTTCCACAATTTAACCTTGGCATTCATTGGCTAGACCTTTTGTTACTCTAATCACCTTGTGTGCGTGCCCGCACACTCACTATGTTTTTCTCTTCTCTCCTTTCTCTCTTTCTTTCTTATTTTTTCTCTTTTTCTCCTTTATTTTTCTTTTTTTCTTTCTCGCTCTCTCATTCATTCATTCATTTCTCGTTTTTGCAAATCTTCCAAATCTAAAAATGCAGCAAACAGCTTACCCTTATCTAATATATATCATTTAATATGCTTTAATACAAATACGTACTTGTTCCATATATCCTCTTCCTATTCATCTAGAATCCTGCTTTATCTTTTCTCCGTAACTTTTTATGTTAAATTTCTTCTGTACACTTGACTGAGTATTCTTAGCAGACTTGTTTCTGTATTATTTGGACCATTTTTGCCCACTGTCTTTGGAACTACATGCTTTTTGCCAGTCCATTCTTTCATGCACATTATGTATTTAATACATCAATATCTGTTTTCAGCATCTGTCTTAATCTGTGTTACCTTCTTTCAACCTACCTGCTGTCTCATCCAGTGCTTCCATTCTCACCTTTGACCTGCCTCCAAACGGAGCATATTCTTCCGAGCGACATGTATAAAATCCCTGAAACTCTCTCATCCTTGTTTAACAGCTCAAAATATTCTCCCCATCTAATATCTTACTACATTAATTCTTAACAAGTGCATTTGCTCCTAGGTTTTCTCAGCGCTTTCATCTCTCACCTAAATGCTTATTCTCGTTAAAATTTGTTGATCAAGATTCACCCATTCTGTTACTTGTTCTCAATTTTTACACTCCCTTGCCATTCATATAACCTCATTCCACAAATCATTTTGATGATGCATTATATAATGCAAGAGGTGTAAATCTGTGTATGATATACACACTTCAGGGTTTACTTAAATTCCTGTTTTACTGTTAAATTATTCCTGATGGGTTGTGTACAAGTGACGTTCCTTCTTTATCTTCGTTTTACTCAGTGCTATGTCATCCAGCTACCCTTTATTTAGAACACCAACATCCATCTGCACTTGTACAGCAATGTCAAACACTTCACTTTCAAAATTTCCTTCTCTTTCTTTTTTTTGTAATTCCAGAAAAATGGGGTAATAAACCTGCTTTCCTCAGGTGAACTTGTAAAGGAAATGTTAGCATTATTAACTATTAAAGAATACAAGTAAACATTAATAGGGTCTACCTGCTTAATTATATGTTTGTGTCCTGCCATCTGCATATTTTTAAGAGGTTTACAATTTTCCTTATTATCTTTTTTTCTTTTTCAGTTGCCTAAAGATAAAACTGTAAACACAAGCCAAGATTCAACTTTGGACATAGAAGCCTGGGAAGAAATTGGAGATGAAGTTGGCGATGATTTTACTGGTTAGTAAAATTTTAAAGTTGTGTGCTATAATGAGGTACAGTATTTTTTCAAACCTCATGAAGTAGTAGTGAATCCAGTGCCTCAGCACAAGAGACATTGAAGCCAGTCAGCTGTAAAATCTATGCTGTACTGGTTTGGTACTTTATGAACAAGAATGGCTGGGAATGCCTACTGTAATTCTTGAATTGTTTCATTGGTGTCTGTGGTGTACTGTAGTATTAAGTGACATATTGCAAGTTATTGTAAGCAACAAAGAATACAAATGATGGGAACCAGCAAGTTAATGTTCCTCAGAGAAAATGTCTTTAACATTAAATCCAGGTTTGTTGCCTGGTAAAAATTTATTATTGGAATTTCATGTACAAGGCATAGCATTAAGAGTGTTCATTATAGAAATAAAAGGGATGAATTGCAATATGGGTATTGTTTAACCTCTTGATGATTAATAAGTAATTCTTAAGTGATTTAAAATAGGTTATGTGTGGTAAATGTCTTGTCATAACGGACTATTATGAAATTTTCTTGTTGAAAATCTGGGCATTCTTTTATGTACTTTGTAACCAGATAACTGCAAAGTATGATTTAGTATTTTTCAGCATATGATAGGTTTGGTAAAGAAAAAGTTTTTGTTTACCCTTTGCTATGAGATTTGAATTCTGATATGAATTTGTTCTTTAAAATTCATATTCTTAAAGGCTTTCTCATTAATATAATTTTCATTTTATTTTTGCTATTGAGCAGGTGATATTGGGGCATTGTAATATTAAATTTTAAGTACATTTATTATTAAATGTCTGTTGCAGAATATTATAATTAATGTAAATTAAAATGCTGTTTTCACATAGGAATAAATGGTAGGAATATATGGATCTATATCTTTTTCACATGATCTGTATACATTTTATTAGAACACTAGTTTCTCTAAGAGATATCCCATTGATCCAGATGTTGACTTTTTTTTTTTGTCTGGGGGGGGATGTCATGGTTTGTATATAAGTTAAAAGTCATGTAGAATGGTAAGGATATGGGAGAAGAATGTAATCAAGGCAATTAAGAGAGGAGGGGGAGATGTTGAGTGGTGTGTGTGTGTGTGTGTGTGTGTGTGAAATTGAAAGTCATCACACAAGCAAGATGATGAGATTAGAAAGTAATCAAGGCAGTGAAAAAGTGGATGTCAGATTAGAGAGCAGGAGTATGAAGAATTTTTCATTCAAGTCTGTTCCTTGTTGAGAGATGGCCTATATTTGGGTCTGAGAAAAGCATGGTGAATTGTAGAAAAGATGAGAAAAGAGATGAATCATAGGAAAGAAGAGGAAAATGAGGTAGCTTAAGTGTTGAGGTTATGGAAAGAAAGTAATTTGTTAGTGGATGCAAAGGATAGTGTGTCAAAGGATATAATTGTGTGAAAACTTGTATGGGTGAAATAGCATTGAAAAGTTTCAGTCAGAATGAGTACACTTCAAATCCTATAACTAGGATCAATTGGAGGGCAAGTCTGGTACCAGCAGCTGTGGTCTTTCCAGCTAAAATAGTATATATTAGTGTTGCAGTTAATGGTTCACCACTGATGTAGTGAAGACATTTTTGATAATGTATAGTATGATTAATAAGATTACAAGTTGTGTTATAATTCATAAAGTAGAGCATGTTGATATTTTAGTTATTTGCAAAGAATGAATCGAAGGACTCAAGAAGGTATGTATACAGTATATCAGATGAATGGGAGGTGTATGGGATGTTCCAAAAAAGGTTGGAAAATAGGTTTATGGGTAGGGGCTTGAGGACCATCTAGCAAGTATGTGTGATTAAAGATTAGTTTTGGGGATTTGATGTGCTGTTGTGCTGTGAGCACCATAATATCTGTTTACTGTATAATATTGATTTTTTTTTTTTTTATTAATATGCAAGCAGTACAAAAATGTATGCTGCAATCCCTATTGGTCTCTAAAAAAGTAATAAGATTGATACTGTAATTATTTCAAGAAAAAATGCTTGAAATTCAGGATAATTATTTTTGGAGGGCATCTGGATTTGATGTCGTTTTCTAATTGAAAAATTATGACTTGCCAAACTTCTTCTCGTACGAGCACTTTCCCATCAAAAGCACCTCAATAGATTTGCTGAGGATTTCAGTTAAGTGTACAGTATCATGTGCATTTTGCCAGTGGTCTTCATTTTATAATGCTGTATCCCTGCCTCAGCCGATTGAAGTCCGACAATCATATACAGTGGACCCCCGCATAGCGAACGCCTTGCATAGCGAACAATCCGCATAGCGAACGCTTTGTTCGCCAAAATTTTGCCCCGCATAGTGGACAAAAACCCGCTCAGCGACCTTCGTCCGAGACGCGTCCATTGTTTACCAGCCAGCCTCCGCGGTAACATTCAAGCATACACTCGGAATATTTCGTATTATTACAGTGTTTTCGGTGCTGTTTCTGGAAAATAAGTGACCATGGGCCCCAAGAAAGCTTCTAGTGCCATCCCTGTGGTAAAAAGGGTGAGAATTAGTATGGAAATTAAGAAAGATTTTGAAGGGTTTGGGGCTAACCCGGAGAAGCCTATGCCAGTTGTGGAATCCATTGTGCCTACTTCAAAAATTAAGGAAATGTGTGCACAGTGGGTTGAACTGCAAACCTTTATGGATGAAAATCACCCTGACACAGCTGTTGCAAGCCGTGCTGGTGACTATTTCAATGACAATGTTATAGCCCATTTTAGACAAATCGTAAAGGAACGGGAGGTACAGAGCTCTATGGACAGATTTGTTGTGCGACAGAGGTCCAGTGACTCTGAAGCTGATCCTAGTGGCATTAAAAGAAGAAGGGAAGTAACCCCGGAAAAGGACTTGCTACCTCAAGTCCTAATGGAAGGGGATTCCCCTTCTAAACACTAACACTCTCTCTCCCCTCCTCCCATCCCATCAATCATCACCAGATCTTCAATAAAAGTAAGTGTCATGTAATTGTGCATGCCTTTTTCAGTTTGTGTGTACTAAAATTAACATTTTTTTGTGGTAAAAAAAATTTTTTTTCATACTTTTGGGTGTCTTGCACGGATTAATTTTATTTCCATTATTTCTTATGGGGAAAATTAATTCGCATAGCGAACATTTCGCATAACGACCAGCCCTCTTGCACGGATTAAGTTCGCTATGCGGGGGTCCACTGTACTACTGTATCTTTGATTTATTCATTCATTCATGTACCTTTGCATTTTATATTTGAATCATGCAGGTTTTCCATCCATATTGAAAGGCCATTGCAACTTAGTCATAGGCTATATCTCTCAGCAAATATGTTTCACTTTTGTTTAGAACATCAGGGGGGGGGGATTTTTTTTTATACACAAGCATTGTTGTGCACGAGAAGAAAATTGGACACAAAAGCATACTACCAACTAGTGAATTCAGCAAAGAAATGCAGAGGAAGATTTTATAACATTTTGCTCTGTGTACTGCTTTTCGTGAGAAGAATAGTTAATGGTCCTAACTTTAAACATTCTCTAAAGATAACCGAAATTATTGTAATACTGTATTGCAGTTGTATTTTAAATGTTAATATTCAGTTGTAGCAAGTTTTACCAACTTGTTTATTGGATATTATAAACTTAATTTCAAAGGTGTTTAATAAAAGTTCTTTTGTCTAATCCCATTCTTTTATAGTGTATAAACATTGTAACTTTAAAAACATCTTGTAAGTCATCTTAATTTTTGTAATGATGGTAAGAGAATTGTGTATTCTTACCTTTTCTTCCTTCAAGGTAGGTGCCTTGATGCCAGTGAGGGGCTTTTGGTCCAACTAATTTGAGCTACTCTCTTGCCTCCCAATTCTCCCTGCATTGAATGACCCATATGGGTTTAACATCTCACCCTAAATACAGTATCAGAATAAATATTGCTTTTTTTTTTTTCTCCTATAATCCTGTCATGTATTTTAAATTCCCACAGAATTTACTAACAAACTGTTCTACATTCTGGATAAGTGTTAAAATTCAGATTTGAAGCATCTGTATCAGTCTCATTGTTGTTGACCTCTGTGTCTCATTCTTTCCTTCTGACCTATGGCAGATGGAACCATGGAGCTTAAATTGGTCTGGCAATGTGCTGCTATAATTTAAAGCAAGATAATAGCTTGCTGGAAATTGGCATGCAAAATTCATGACATTAGTCTGTGTAATTGGTTAGCCCATTATATACAGTATCTGATCTAGTAAAAGTTTACTATTGATCATTAGGGAGTCTTTGTAGTGTAGGTCTAGGCCAAGAAATATTGATATACTGTAACATTCTTCTCAGAACCTGCTTTCAGTTATGTTAGAATTTTTAATATGCACTGGTAAGTTGTTACCAACTATAAAAATCTCCATGAAAGACCTTCATTTTAAAACATTTTCAGTATGTAAAATTCAGCCAAATATCTATCTATTTTCATTGTTTTTCAGTACTAACAGGTAAAAACACTGGCCCCAGAAGATTAATTTGTTTTAGAAAATTTTGTTTCAGGAAATTAAGATTTAATATTTTCTTTGGTTTTGGCTTACTGTTCTTTCCTGTCACCCTATTCCCAATCTCAAATGGGCAATTTTTGTCCTTGTCACATTTTTTGAAATGAATAGTAGAATGACCACTAGCTCACTTGGGTTTGCATTATTTTTTTTTTTTTAATTGTCTGCTGCAATGTAAATATTTGAATGCACAGAAATGCTGTATCATTGGCCCCCTGTCAAGGCAGGCATTGAATTTAAACTATATTAACCTTTAAAGCTGTTAAATTTAATGCAGCTAATTATCTTGCTGCTTGCTTGTACTTTGTACATCAGGCTTCGGAATGATTCTGTGAATTGCAGCGGACCCTTTTAGATTGAGTCTTATGCTGTTAGGGAAAAATCACTTACAGAGTCTTTTGCTTACAAGCTCCTAGATTAGTCAACAAGTTACCAGGGCCTGTTAAGAGTCAGGAATCTGTTTCATGCTTTCAAGTCTGGGCTGAAAACAAATTTTTTTTAGATCTGATGATCCTGATGATCATATTGTCACTCTTAATATAAACTTTAGTATTTCTTCGTTGTTTTGTTTATAGCTTGTTGTGCAAGTGCATGTGAAAGAACAGGCTCTAGAATAAAATTCCAGATTCTTTTCATTATTATTCAAAAAGTCAATTAGGAAAGTGTGCTAGTTTAACTGTGGTATTTAGCATAATATATAAATAATGCAAGTCACTTAATTGCAGATGTTGTGAATTTATATATAATGGAAATACTCCCTATATTTTTGTTTTTTATATTAATATTATCATCTATGTAGTTGTAATTAAAAATCTTAAACTTATGATTTCTTGCATATAATTATAATGCCTTTTTTTTTTTTTTTTTTTTTTTTTTTTTTTTTTTTTTTTTTTTTTTTTTTTGGTGGGGGGAAGAGCCATAATAATTTTGCCAAATATTGAGTTTATTTTTTTTATTTGTAAATAGCTTAATCTGATTTATTACTGAATATTTTCTTTGGTGTGCTTCTCAAAAAGCAAAATAAATATGCAAAGCTCATTCTGATAAATATATTATTAACACCATTACTAGTAATTTTTTCACATTGAGTAATACACTAAATTTGCTTTATTTTTTTTAATGTTATATTACTGATAAGCTGCTAAATAACAAGATGTAAGTAATTTTTCTGGCAGTTTCATAATAGAAAGTATGTACTGCTGGTACTCATTAATTCATGAGTTGGATAATTGCACATTAGAGAGATTAGATTTACTATTGAATCCTCTATCCCCAGTTCACAGTTAGTTGCATTTTCCAACAAATGAGTATGGTGGAGGCTTAGCTCTGTATGGCCTTACCCTTGAAGCCAGTACACAAATAAACAAAAAAGAATTTAAAAGGTGTTTTAGTATTACCCATAGTATGAAAAGCACAGTACTATATAGTTCTATAAATCCCAGAGTGCAGGCCCAGCTTAATATATTTTTTTTAATGTATATAAATACTTATTGAGTTTGCAAGGGACTGACTGACAAGCTACAGTATATGACCCATATGGGTCATATACTAATGAGAAAAATCTTCATCTACTTTTAAATGCCCTGCTGAACTCCATAACCTAATAATTATCCTTCTCCCTCTTGCTACCCAGTACCCTTATATCCTTCCCTGCTCTGCAGTGCTTTATAACCCTTGTGGTTTAGTGCTTCATTGTGATTATAATAATACTTTTAAAGCCTAAATTGGCTTGATGCACTTCACATGTGAGAACTTTTGTGTACTCTTGTGTAGCCCCCCACCCTGCCTTGAGGGAGGTGCCGTGATGCTGGTGATGGGTTCTTGATCCAAGAAATTGAAGACATTTCCTTGGATCTAATCAAATTGCCTCCCATTTCCCAAGGTGGTGTGCAACCCCTATAGGTTTAGCATTCCTCCAAAAAATAAAATGGATATTCTGTTTTATGAAAGTGGGTATTATATCTGATTTTTCAAATGCACTCAAATGCACTTCAAATGCACTATGAAAGGGGGCATACATTGATGTTGGTGAAAGTCTCTTGATTGAAGGAACTGGAGTTACTCCAATTCTTTGGATCAAATATAATTACCTTTTATTCTCCACTTTGTATGCACCACATGCATATTTGGTCACAAGGAGTTCTTCCCCAGCTGTGGAACACTGCCTTTGTTCTCCCTTTCTGCAAACTGGGTACTTGATGCCTCCCAGTATTGTCCCATTGCTCTCACCAGTGCAGTTTGCAAGGTGGTGGAATGTCTGATAAATAGACATTTGATGTATTTAGAGAGAGAGAACAGTATCTCCACTAGTCAATATGGCTTTCCCAAGGGCCATTCTACCATTGACCCCTTACTACACTTAGATACGTATGTCCGTAATGCCTTTGCCAGTAACCATTCAGTTATCGCCATCTTTTTTACCTTGAGAAAGCATATGACAACTTGGAGGTATATCTTGTCCCAGGCCCACTCCTTAGGCCTTCGTAGCAGTGTACCATTTTTTCTTAAGAACTTCTTAACTGAAAGATATTTCCATGTTCAGGTTAATAATATGCTTTCCCCGGACTTCGTCCAAGCTGAGGGTGTCCCCCAGGGGTGTGTTCTGAGCACCACTTTCTCTCCTGGCTATTAATGATCTGCCCTTGTGGTTTAGCACTTCTTTTGATTATAATAATAATAATAATGATCTGTCCTTTTTTTTTTTTTTTCCAACAAGTAGGCCGTCTCCCACCGAGGCAGGGTGACCCAAAAAGAAAGAAAATCCCCAAAAAGAAAATACTTTCATCATCATTCAACACTTTCACCTCACTCACACATAATCACTGTTTTTGCAGAGGTGCTCAGAACACAACAGTTTAGAAACATAGACGTATAAAGATACACAACATATCCCTCCAAACTGCTAATATCCCAAAACCCCTCCTTTAGAGTGCAGGCATTGTACTTCCCATTTCCAGGACTCGAGTCCGGCTATATAAAAATAACCGGTTTCCCTGAATCCCTTCACTAAATATTACCCTGCTCACACTCCAACAGATTGTCAGGTCCCAAATACTATTCGTCTCCATTCACTCCTATCGAACACGCTCATGCACGCCTGCTGGAAGTCCAAGCCCCTCGCCCACAAACCCTCCCTTTCACCTTCCTTCCAACCTTTTCGAGGACGACCCCTACCCCGCCGCCTTCTACAGATTTAAATGCTCTCCATGTCATTCTACTTTGATCCATTCTCTCTAAATGACCAAACCACCTCAACAACCCCTTTTCAGCCCTCTGACTTATACTTTTATTAACTCCACACCTTCTCCTAATTTCCACACTGAATTTTCTGCATAATAATTACACCACACATTGCTCTTAGACAGGACATCTCCACTGCCTCCAACCGCCTCCTCGCTGCTGCATTCACAACCCAAGCTTCACACCCATATAAGAGTGTTGGTACTACTATACTTTCATACATTCCATTCTTTGCCTCCATAGATAACATTTTTTGACTCCACATTTTCCTCAACGCACCACTCACCTTTTTTTCCTTCATCAATTCTATGATTAACCTCATCCTTCAAAAATCCATCTGCCGACACATCAACTCCCAAGTATTTGGTCATCACACTGTATTGATGACGTCGCTATAGCTTGTGCAGGTGCTGACTGTCACCTCATTGCCGTTTCTCCAGCATGTGGTCAACAGTGTTTCCAATTGGGCCACCACTTTTGGGTTTAAATTTTCTAGTAATAAAACTCGCCAAATTACTTTCACTAGACATTCTGTCATCTCTGATTACTCGTTGTACCTATGGCTCACATATCCTAGAATGTGATACGGTCAGGTTTCTCGGCCTTCTCTTTGACCATAGGTTGTCCTGGAAACCTCTCATTACCTCTGAAGGCAACTTGTCATAGCTGGCTGAACCTCCTTAAAACACTCACTCACCTTTCATGGGGGGCTGATCGTAGAACTCTCCTTTGACTACATTCAGCCCTAATTTTATCGAAACTTGATTATGGCGACCAGATGTATTCGGTGGCCTCTCCTGCAACTCTCTCTAGCCTTAATCCCATCCATCGCCATGGATTACGTTTATGCCTCGGTGCTTTTCGCTCTTCACTGGTTGAGGGCCTCTATGCAGAGGCAAAAATTCCATCCTTGTCCAATCGCTGTGATGCTCATAGGATAGTCACTGATGCTAGTAGATGTTCTTTATTTGTTCGTCACCCCTGTTTACTCCGTCCCTTTTCTCTTCGCCTACATTCACTCTTGTCTTCTCTTCAATTACCACCTTTCTATGTTCATGTAGCATCTCACTTTTCCTTACCCCCTTGGGAAGCTCCAACGATTTGTGTTTGTTCTTTCCCACTGCCATGCGTGAAAGCCCAACTGCCTACAGTG